TTCTCCCTCTGACCCTCCCCCCTCTCATGTGCTCTCTGTCTCTCTCATTCTCTCTGTCTCAAATAAATAAATAAAATCTTTAAAAAATAAATAAATAAAATAAAATAAAATAAGTTGGTCACAGACATGTTTCTGTGTTAATTTCCAAACCCACTGAGAATTACAAGAGAAATCAAATCCATATGGTTCTGACTTATTTACACCCATTGCTCAATAACTTAGACAAATAACTGAATGTCCAAAACACTTTTTTTTTTTAAGAGAGGGACACCATTTAACAGCCAGAATCTAACTTAAACAGACTTAAGTTTAACCAAATATGCTAAACCTGGAGGGCCTAAAGAACCCCAAAGGGCTGGAGACAAGTTCTTGCAAACCGTGGAACATGGCTGGTTTTATCCTGGAACAACACACATATGCCACAGCTAATCAGCTCCCATTCAATCCAAGAACATAATAAGATCATCTCTACCAGTCTAGTTTCCCTGCATCTAATATATTTCATTTTTGTCTTTCTGGCCTAATGTCATGGGAATTCTGCAGAGTAATCAGTTTTCAGAAAGAAACAGATAAACGGTTGTACTTACTGAGAAGACAGAGTTAAGAATGACGATAGACATTCCCGGGGTGCTGCCTTTAGTGGACAGTGGCCCACCTCTGCTCCATGTGTATGTGTGCGTGAGCATGCTCACAAGCGCACGTGCGTGAGTGACAAATGCATGGGAAAACCAGGGATCTCAGTAAGTTAAAGAAGTTAAAGGACAAAGGAGCCCCAGTTTCACATAGACAGACAAAACAGGGATTGGCTCCATGCCCCATTTTTCAGGAGCAATTTGGTTGCAAAAATATTCAGAACAATAAACAAACCAACCCAGAAAACAAACAAATAAAACTGAATTCCTCTTAAGTGAGTGATGCAACACCGAGAGGTGATAGAGAGAAAAAAAAATTCCTCAGTCATCAAACTCCTAAGCACTTAATTCAGCATGATTTTTATTTTTTTTAAGATTTTATTTATTTATTTGAGAGAGAGCGTGTGCGCATAAGCGGGGGGAGGGGCAGTGGGCAGAGGGAGAAGCAGGCTCCACACTGAGCGGGGAACCAGATGCAGGGCTCCATCCCAGGACCCTGGGATCACAACCGGAGCTGAAAGCAGACACTTAACCGACTGAGCCACCCAGGTGCCCCCAGTGCGATTTTTAATACAGACAAATTTCATGACCAGGGAGACACAACAATCACTGTGTTTAATGTTCATTTCAATCTGCAGAGCTAAGTAGTAACCACCCCCAGAGTCTACCAAGGTCTTCATCAGGCACCAACTTCAGAGCAGAGTTGAGTCTTCAAAGGCAAACTACCCTGGGCAACAGAGATATTTACTGATCAGGCCAGGAAGGAGCTTCTCCCTCCATTACCTGAGAGAGCTTTACAGAAGTCCTACTGACCACCTGTACTGCAAGAGTTCCATGGGTCTTCTTGGCCCTGGACTCCTAGATTCAACACAAACACCTAGCAAAAAGTCAATCACGCCCGTCTCTACTTTCCCCTTCCCTCCAACTTCTCCATCGGCCAAGGTGTCTGTCGGGGGCGTCACGACTTAGCCTTAGCTCCTTGGCTTGTTGTTATCCAGAGAAGTCACTTCTCTGACCCAAGGGCTAGAATCTCAAAAGATCCACTTGAAAAGGATGGCTCCTTTTGAGTGCGAAGTTTATAATTATGATTACCAAGCATTTAAAAACTATTCTAATTACAGAATTTCTAAAAGAATACACAGATAATGGAACACATTAATAACTATGAATAGAGGTGGTAATTCATGCCTGCCGTTCTATGCCCACATGCTAAAGCCTGACAGAGGGCCCTGCCCATCACCAGCCTTCTGGGTATATCTGCACCGACTATTACCTCACTCAGCTATGGGTCGCAGCGTGAGATGACCCAACACGCTCAAACCTTTACTCATTATCTAATCCCAGCCTGCTTTTCCTGCTTTTTATTGGTAAAGGGTGACCATGCATCCAGTTGCTCAGTCACACCCCTTTCTCGGGCTCTCTCACTGCCATTATTCAACTGAGACACTGAGTTGTGTCTGAGTCCTACTAATTTTGTCATACTTCTCTCTCCCCTACTCTCCACCACTACTTCTGTCTTACTTCAGGACTTCTACCTCTCTTGTCTAGATACCAAAATCTCTGTTAATTAGTCTCCATACCTCCAGCTTAGCCCCTCCTGAGTTTCTCTTCTACTGTGCCTCCCAAACTAGCTTCTAAAATATAAGCCTTGAAAACAGTGAAATCATAAACACATTTGAAGAAAACATAGGTGAATAGTTTTATAATCTTGGAGAATAATAAGCATTTCTAAGCATGATATAAAGCCTGGAAGGCATAAATATGGTTACTTAAAAAACATCTCCTATAACATAAAGAACACTGTAATCAAAGATTAAAAAACAACTGAGGAAAATATCTGCAACATATACAGTAGAGGACATGCTAATTTCTTTAATATACAAAGAGCTCTTACAATTCACTAAGAAGAAAACCTATCTGCAAATTTGAAATAACATCTCAAGTCCATCTCTTGCCACACCAGGAGAGGAAAAGCTAATGCAAATAATTACAAAGTTGTGATAAAGGCACAAATGTCCTGTAAAGACTAGGTACTGAAAAATTTGTTAACTATCACTGGTAGCAAACCTGCTTCAAACGCCCTGCCTAGATTCAATTACATTACACATCGACCCTGAGATACCTGTAAGCAGTTGAAAAATGCCTCTGGACTGTCTTGTTTATGCCTTTGGAACACAGTGAAGCATGTTTGCACAGAACAAATCATTCCCTGTAAAGCTGGAAGGCCCTCTTTGCCAGCATTATTGATGTGTTAGCTTTCAGCCAGAAGGTTAACGTTTTCAGGAACATTTCTCAACTCACACAACCCCAAACCTTATCACTCCATCAGCATAGTCTGGGCTGTGATGTCTCTCAGATGAAACTAATTGGCTTTTCCATTCTGACCTGAGCTAAGTGACAAAATAATATCCCCCGACAAGAGGCAGAGTCCCAGCCGGGTGACATTGCTGATGTAACTGCCAAGACACCTCCTCTTACCCAGGCACACGGGCATCCAAAAGCCAGGTGTTAAAATCCTAAAGACCAAGAGTACAGATGACTCCTCTTTTGAATGAAAGCTCGGATGAGACGGTGGGTCGACTGCACCCATAAGAAGAGATAAAATTTGTTAGGAAAGTGAATCATTCAAGACGCTGACACAGCTGTTTATGTAAATCTGGAACAAAGGCCAAGTCACCTACTGCAAGACATCCAAAGATTCTGCGGCAAAATCCCTTGACCGTATTAGTGTCCATTTGCCGAAACAGAATTTAAAACCTAAAACTGAGACTAATAACTGAGTGCTACCACGAATAAATTTGGGGGAAACAAAGGAGCTTGAACCCAACCAAGCAGTATTGGAAATCAGAAAATTGAACCAATTGTTTTCCAGCCTTGAGAATGTAAGGCTGTAGTCAGGGGCCAAGCATCAGAATACCACCATCGTACAAGGGATGTGAACACATGACTTTCCGTTGTTGGAACCAACTCCCCGGAGTTTGTGAGCACTTGATTCACAATGTTGTTGAGAATTATGAAACAGAAATAAATCCAATTTTCTAAACAGCTTCCAAAAAAAAAGAGTTGGATTTTTACATTTGTAACATACAATGAATGGATTTGCAGAGATTCAAACCCTGATGGATGGTTTCTCAAAACCCATTTGTTTCTATCATTTGCCTCTGGTAAAAAGCATAAAATATTCTCCCAATAAATCTAGAGGCCCAGGGTGCCACTGATCATTTTATTCTGGGCTGCCGTGGGCTCAGTGACTTCTGGAAACAAGCGCCACACATGGAGATGCACAATGGGACCATTCGGTGACTTGACGCTGCAAGGGGCAGCCAGGAGCCACTCACCCTAAGGAGCACAAAAAACATGCCAGGAGGACCAGATTCCACTCTGGGCCTCCTTCCCTCTCTGTGGAGGAAAAGAGTTGTGCCTTATTTAAAGGATTGAGTGCCGGGAAAGGCTGTGACCTTGCTATTTCTTGAAGGATATTCTAGAGAAACAGAGAGAAACAGTAGGTCAGAAGGACAGAATAAACATTGCTGAAATAATAGAAATCCAACCTTGGTTTTGTGTCTGGCGACCTAGGAGGACCTCCTCCTGAGGCCCAACAGCCTCTATGCTACCTGAACACACAAGAGGCAAACAGCCTACTTAGAAACCTACTTAAAACTGTTGAATCACAGATCTGAACCTCTGAAACAAATAATACAATATATGTTAAAAAAAAAAAAAAGAAGAAGAAGAAGATAGCAGGAGGGGAAGAATGAAGGGGAGGAAATCAGAGGGGGAGACGAACCATGAGAGACTA